CCGGGAGCTTGGTTGGGAGGTTCTTATGCATCCACCTTATAGTCCGGACCTGGCACCAAGTGATTACCACCTGTTCCTGTCTATGGCGAATGATTTTGCTGGTGAAAAATTCGCCTCAAGAGAAGCTTGTGAAAATCGACTGTCCCAGTTTTTTGTCAATAGGAACGATGGTTTCTATGAGGCATAATGAAATTACCTTCAAAATGGCAACAAGTTATCGAACAAAACGGTGCATATTTGCACCTAAATCGGATCATTCTAACTATGCTAAATAAAGCCTTCAATTTAATGCAAAAATAATAGATTTCTTTTTACTACACCTTATATTTACATATGAATCGAAATTATACAAAAGAAAGAAAATGCGTCTTCCATATAATACCCCTTATTATTTCCCTCATATCATTTATTGCCCAAAGACGTTCAACTATTGCCCGCAGGCAGCTGAACACTCGCGGGTAGTGCCCATCTGCCAATTCCTGTCGTAAACTATTGGTTTTTTTGATATCACTACTTTAATACTTTTACTCGTATATTTAAAATAATTTAAAAAATCATATTGTGTAAAAGAAATCATACAATTCCAAAAAATACAATTAAAAAAAATGGAGATTATCTTGAAATTTCAAAAAATATGACCTTGAAAAAAATTGTTTGCTCATCATGATATGTACCCCTCCGAACTTTCTCCTTTGGTATTTTCTCATATCATTAAAAAGAACGGAGATATTTGAGATGGTCAAGTTAGAGAAAACACTCTGTATATACATATCTGTAACACTATATATAGAGTATGTAGTGTATACATTCTATAAAGTAAATATAGTGATTGACCACGATATAGTGATTGACCATTTGCAATTATCTATCTATATACTATTTATTTATATACTAAAATCTAAGTCAAATTAACAGCCAATTTCACAACCTATTAATAACTGATCTTTATTAACTTCATATATGAATAAAATATTCAATTTACAATCCGTTTTTTACTTTCCAGTTCATCAATTGAACTTGCAAGAAAAACTGTAGTACATAATTAAGAAATACTTAATAGTTCAGTTAAGCGTACGTATTGAAATAGATTAATTATATTTTTATGAAACAATTTATAATATAACTTTTGTTCATCATATATTGTTAATACAAGGTTATGAATATTTTCCTACATATTTATTTTTTTAATTCAGCAAAAATTACGAAAATGAAAGGGTGATCAATAACTGTAATTGAAAAAGTTCATTTTTTGACAGTTATTGACCATTTATTGTAATTCACATATTATTTACTAGATAATTATTCCTTATTACAAATCAAATTAACTAAGACTTCTTATAATTCAAAGAACTGGAAAAGATACGGACATTAGGAGTCAAGCACAGAAGACGTCGCGCAAGTAATATATCTAATTATAATCAAAATAGATTATTCAAAATAAATTATTCAAAATTGAACTATTCAAAATAAATTATTCAAAATTGAATAATTTATAATAATGTTTGTGATACAGTTTGTGATTTGTGATCAGGGTAAGCGTCCTTATTTTCGAGATGATTAATTATAATCTTAAGGTTTTTGATAAATTAGTTTTTCATATTTTCCATTTCGATATTTCCATTATTTCCTTTTTTCGTTCATCTTTCTTTTCTCTTTTCCGTTTTATTTCACTCTTTTTGGCGTTTAAATTCTCAAGGTAGGGATGCTCACCATGATAGGATAATTTTTATTTACAGTTTATATATATATTAATTTTTGTTGTCTCTGAGGAAGGCTAAAAAATGAGCCGAAACATGTAAACGCGTTTTAGTGAATAAAGAAGTTTCACACTTAATAGATATATTACTTACGCGACGTCTACTGCGCTTGACTTCTACTGCCCGTATTCTTTCAAATTCTTATAATTATTCCTCATAAATAAAATTACTATTTTGAGATGTTATAATATTGTAGATTTAATTTTTTATTAAAATGCCTAAAGTAATAGTCGCATAAAATATATTCAAGAGGCACTTAACAATGCCGTAGATGTCGTAGATTTCGTAAAGGTATGGAGGTCCCTGTGTGTGCTGCAAATTCTTACAAGAAAAATTCTTGTGAGATCTTCTAAGAAAATTTTTACATACGAAATTTTGAATAGGAACATGCAAGATCATATATGAATATATCGCATACAATCCTTGTAAATAAATTAAGAATCTTGCTTGAATCTTATACACATGTTACATGACTCTTACACACATGTTATGAATCTTGAGGTATACACAAATTTTGCGCGTATGTAATGTGAATCTTGCAAGAATATAACTGAAATGTCATTATGAAAATATTATTATATTATATAAGAATACTATTGAAATTTTGTGTGATTTATTGTTCGTATCCCAGTAAATAAAATGGAATGGGACAAGCAAGAAGTTGAATGAAATTTAAAAGAATTATTTTGGCTAAAAATTCATTCTTTTTAAATCAAACTAACAAAGACGCCTTACAAATCAAAAGAAACTGAAAAGGACAAGAGCACTAGGAGTCAGGTGTAGAAGATAATACACCTATTAAGGCATAAAACTTTTTTATTCTACTAAATGCGCTTACATGTTTCGACTCACTTTTGAGCTCTTGTAAGATACAATTGAGAGATAATTTTGTCTTATCTTTGGATAATAGATTAAATTTAACAGTCGATCTTATTAACTGTATTGAAAGCAATATTTACAAATTGTTTATTGATGAACGGATCTCGATCTCGAATCACTTACTTCCTGTATTAAATAACTTAGCTTCTCTTATTCCTTACATTGTACGAAAATATTATAGATAGGAGTTTATTACAGTTAGCGAAAGACACTAGGATTTTTTTAAGAGATATAAATGACAGGGTTATTTTTACTCGTGCGGATAAGGGGAATGTGACAGTAGCATTGGATAGACAGATGTACATTTCCAGAGTAAATGAGGATGTGAATATTTATGAGGTATTTGAAAGGGATCTGACGAGGAGGATGGTAACGGACTTACGCGCTTTATTAGTTAGTTGGAAAGAAAAAAAGTATATAACTAATTCCACATATAGAAGTTTGTTAAGTAATGATGGGATACTTCCGAGAGCCGCTTTTTCGAAGATACATAAACAGGACTGTCCCTTTCGTGTAATAGTTTTTTCGATAAGTCCTTTGTATTCGTTGTATCAGTGTTTCTTCATAATATTATCATAAAAACAATTTCTAAGGCAGATAGTCATATCAAAAATAGTTTAAAACTCGTAAAGGAACTTGATGGTAGACGTTTGAGTGATGAATTTCAGTTAATGTCATTGGATATTGTTAGCCTCTTTACTAACGTTCTCATTGACTATGCGATGGATTGTATCAAAGACCATTGCCGGTTTATTTCTAGAGATTGTTGTTTACCTGAGGAGAAATTTGTCAAAAGCGGTTCAATTTGTTTTAGATTCTACTTTCTTTGTTTTTAGTGTTATATACGTATAAGTAGAATTACGGTACTCCTATGGGCTCTCCGTTGTCTCCCGTCATCGCAGATATAGTTATGCAAAAGTTGGAGAGTAGAACTTTGTCTTTGATTCGGTTTCCGTTGCCTTTTTACTATAGGTATGTTGACGATATACTCACAGTGGCCTAATTCTTCGGTTAATTCCATTCTTGATATTTTTAATTCTCAACATCCAAGGCTTTAGTTCACTGAAGTGGGGGATAATAGATTGAATTTTTTGGATGTTACAGTGATTAGGAATAATGAGGTGATAAAGTTTGATTGGTACTACAAGCCGACTTTTTCGGATAGATATTTGAACTTTTAATCACAACATCCGATTTTTCAAAAAATAAGTACGATCGTGGGATTAGTTGATAAGGTGGGTTTGCTTCCGAATCTTAAATTTTGTTTTGATAATTTATGCTTCATAATTAAGGTATTGTTAGAGAATGATTATTCATTGAACTTTATATTTAAGAATATTAGCAACCGTTTGAAGAACATTATTATGGCTAGTAATAGGAAGAGTGTTGTTAATGATAATAGCGTTGATGTAGTGCAGTCTTCGTGGTTCACTGTTCCTTTCGTGGTATTACTGAGAAGTTTGGTAGATTGAATAGCGATTATATGAGAGTATCGTTTTATAGTATCAATAAATTGCGAGAATTTATTAGGGTGCATAAGCATCCCTTATCGCGTGACAAGGAGTCGAATATTGTTTATAAGATTTCGTGTAAGAGTTGCGACGCGAATTATATAGGACAGACGTGTAGACAACTGAAGTCAAGAATCATGGAGCATAAGAATCATATCCGATGAAATACGTCTACTTGTAATGTTATAACGGAGTATCGGAAGGCCATGATTTCGATTGGGACAACGTTACAATATTGGACGAGGAATCTTATTACAGGAAGAGATTGATTTCGGAGATGATATTCATCAGGAGACGAACGGGCTCAACTTGCAGACGGATATGGAGGAGCTTCCCAAGGTCTATCTCCTGATTATAGGACAAACTATAAAAGGTCGAGTTGTTGTCGCGTCTAGTCAGTCAGTGTCGCTCGTACACAGTAATGAGTCTTTCTAGCGTGATTTTTTATTACTTTCCAACTTTCATTTTTATAGAATTGATTAGCGTTTTAATGTTAAATTTTTCAATTTGTAATCTTGAATAATACTAGCTAAAACTAAAAGTGACTCACTGTGTCTGATACTGACTGGCCAAAATATCAAAAACCGATTTTTGAATAATTCATAGTAATGTTTGCGATATAGTTTGTGATTTGTGATCAGGGTGAGCGTCCTTATTTTCGAGATAATTATAATCTTAAAGTTTTTGATAAATTAGTTTTTCATATTCTCTATTTCGATATTTACATTATTTCCTTATTTTTGTTCATTTTTCATTTTCTTTTATTCTTTTTGGGTTTAATTCTGGCATTTAAATTTTCGAGGTAGGGGAACTCACTATGACAAGATAATTTTTATTCACAGTTTATTTAAGTCAATTTGTGTTGTTTCTGAGGAGGACTCAAAAGTGAGCCAAAACATGTAAGCGCGTTTAATAGAATAAAGAAGTTTTATGTTTTATAGGTATATTATTTGCGCGACGTCTTCTGCACCTAACTCCTAGTACCCTTGTCCTTTCCAATGTCGTTTAATTCTTTTATTATTATTTTACAAATTGAATAACGGCTTCTCAACTTAAATCAAACTTAATTCGGGAAGGGAGCATAAAAAGCCTACATCAATTATTATAGTGAAATTCATTAAGATAGTAATAATATATACATTTCGAGTTTTTATTCAGTCATTTTCAGTATTCTAACAAATTTTTTTGTTAATTTTTCTTAACTCTTTTTTATTTCATATTTAATACAGTTTCTGTTTATTTAATAATTCCATTTACTGGGATAATCGATACTTTTATTATACCTTTATTACAATACTTTGAAGTGATGTAAAAAATTATTTCTTAAGAATATCTTGTTAGGCTAAATTAGCAATTAAAATCTTTTCATTGCGATATAAATCGTAGTGTACGATTCATGCCAAATTCCTGCACCAACTTGAAAAACAAATTATTTCGTAACTATATGTTTTTTAAGACTGATACATGATCTTTCATGTAACACTTAAAAATAACACATAATTAATATCATATTTTTGGATGATCCTACAAAATAATTATTTTTTAAGAGTTTCTTATAAGTTAGGTTAAGACAAGATCTTTTCATTGCTATACAATTATCGTGTACGATTCATCCCAGATTCTTGTATCAACTTGGAATAAATTATTCTGTAACTATGTCTCTTAAAATTGATAAATAATTTGTCATGAAATACTTTAGAATCATATATAATTAATACCATATTCTTAGATAATCCCATAAAGAAACTATTTTTTAAAAGTTTCTTATAAAGCTAAAACAAGATTTTTTTCTTTGTGATATAGATAGACAATTCATTCTAGATTCGTGTACAATTCATTCTAGATTCCTAAAGTCATTAAAGATTATTGATGAGATTTATGAACAAATTATATAAGATTCTTATATGATCATATACGTTTATTTAATAATCCTGATTGATCACATACAATTCTTTTAAGATCTGGTACAAAAAATTTACAAGAATTTTCAACAGAGGTTAAATGAAGCGGCATGAATATATGGCGTACCTAAATCAACACTTATATATAAATTTAGAAAAGATAAACCACTGAACATCAAAACAATAATGGGTTCTTATCCTACATTTGGAATTTCATTAAATTTATCTCCTTTTTATTTTCTGAATTTTTTTCTTCATTTTGATGGTTTTCATATTAATGGTCAATCACTGTCATAGTATATACATGACATTTTTACTTATTTTAGTGAATAGATTTATCTCCTAAAATATTGATATGTATTTATAAAACACTGTATTTTTCTGATATATAATATTACTGTAACATAACATATCTGAGTAAACCAAAACATAACATAGATGTACATAACGTATATTAATATTATATCAACAAATGTTATGTTCTGACATAGTTGTTCTGGTAACTTTGATAGTAACTGTGATAGTAACTTTGAATGTATCAGATTATGTATATCTGATATATTATAATGATATATTACAGTAACATGACATATATGTTACATATATAGATGTTATATATTTCAGCAATGCTATGCGGCATGGAAGAAATCATCTTTTTCTATAAGCATTATTGCAATATGGCTATGAAGTTTGTCATCGCCGCGATACCCGCACGATACGAAACAAATAATGACCTTCATGAGACAAGACGTGGAAAACGCTTCTCGCTCGATAAAATGCGGTAATCAATAAACTTTCGCATACGTTTCCGCACTCGTTAAAACCGAAAATTGTGTAATCTAAGAATTAATATGGCATTCATACGACTGACTGTACAGCACAAATACAATTGAACGTATTGAAAGCACTATTCGTTTTATCTTGGTTGTTAGCGTTACATGAAAAACTTATATAGCACCAAAAGTCTTCAGAAATATGTCAGAAATATTTCAACTGAAAAGTGAAAAATTTCATAAAAATTGCAAAATATGTTTGCAGTATAGTACTCGTATATGTTTGCAAGTATGTACCTGAAATATTTTTGGTAATATTTTAAAAAGATTGCAGATTCTGTAACATTTCATCAACCTTTCAATTTAAGATTTTATGTGCAGAAATTGCGGATATTTTACTATTCCAGAGCTGTCTCAGAAATGTTGAAAACATATTTCGCAATTTCAATGAAATGTTACTACAAAAATAATATTTGAATATATACCTGATTGATACTTAAATAATATTTAAATTTATTATGTCGATATATAATTTAAGTATCAATCAATTCATTTAAGTATCAATTTTGAACATATATTTCAATATCATTTCTGAAGCACTTAAAATTTATTAAAAGTGATCTGTTTACAGTGAACAGAGATCCGGTTACATTGAAATAAACTTAAATAAACTTATTTCTAAAAAATAGTTATTATATCGCCAACTATTTTGATTAATTAATCATTTTATATGTATAAGCACATATATACATAATCACTGTTAAAGAACCATACTTGCAATTTTTACATAATATTGTTATTTATATACAAAGATTTTCCTAACTAAAGCAAAACAATCCCAGAAAAAATTAATATATATGTATATGGACATATTTTGCATATAATTATATACAATTGTATATAAAATATATTAATTTTTTATATAATTATATATAATTTTATATAATTGTATATGAAACATTTCTTCCCGAAGAAGTCATTCATATATAAAAGTTTTTCGCAATTAAGGTAGAACAAGTCACAATAACATCAATTAAGGTAGAACAAGTCACGATAACATCAAAACGACGTTAAATTGAATCGTGATTGATAAAAAAAATACTTTTAGTAAGTATCAGGCTGCTCTTCGCCCTGATGAAGTGGACTGCAAGGTTCACGAAACGTTGACATTTCAAGAATGGATCTGGACACGGAGAAAACCCGTGAAACGCATAACTTTTATACTTTTAATAAACATTTTTTAGTCATTTTAACATCGTGATGTTGATTTTTTATTCTGTTTAAATATGCTTTCCAATTTATTGCATATGATATGATTTTAGAAATATTACTGTCAACACGTTTCGTATGACATATTGTAGAATCTTTTCAGAATTGTTGCACATGAGATGTGAAAGGTTGAAACATTTCTGAAAATATAAATATAATAAAAAAGTGGTTTTTAATAATAAATTTTTCACAATAAAGAAGCATATAACCACACACAGGTTGTTTTTTGTGATATTTAATATATGACAAAGATTCAGATTAAATTTAGACATTTCGGCCAATATCTGGCCATCTTCAGTAAAAATACAAAAAATCCCGCATTAGTACATAAAATTAAAACCATAAATTTCTCAGTCATACATTTAGCTTTACATTTAAATCACACTCTCTTTTTTCTTATTCATGAGCACATAATACCTGGTTGATGAATTAAATGCAATGTCTCGAATTGTGTAGAACGAGAATTTCCAAATTCTAGTATACAACAGATATGCTATTATTAATCTATTTTACTCTAATTATTAAAAAGTTACAATTCTTTACTGTTTTTTTCAGCAATTCGGTGACATTTGTACCTTATCGCAGACAATGTGGTGAAACAACCAAATATTACAAATATTATCGTGAAAGCGTATCAATTTTGTTTGTCGTTACTTTACTCTGTGACGAATATTTATATGCGCGCAAAAGTTTAGAACTTTCTTGAATTATTCTTTAGTGCAAGAGAGATCTTATTTTAAACGAGGCAGATTTTATTTTAGATTTATTTTAGAAGAGAAAATTTTCCGCAATAATCGATGCTGTAGGAGGAAGTAACGAAGTTACTGATTTCGTTACTTTTTTTAACGAATGAGTAACGAAGTTACTTTTCCTAGTGAGTAACAGTAACTAAGTCACAATTTTCAGTAACAAGTAACAAAATGTTTTTATTACTTTTTTCGTTATTCTATTGATATAGAGTTATTTTAATAAGAGTTAAGAGTGCTGAACATCATGCAGAATCATGTTCCCCAACGGGTGGTTATAGGGTGGAAATAAAGAGAATGGAATCAATTAGCCGAAATCATCATTTTCTGCACATATTTATAACGCAATTCCTCATCCTAACCTCTTCTTTTTTCTAAATTATCTTCTTCTAACTACGAGTAAGAATATCTGTCAGATAGAAGAAAAACTTAAAGTTTCCAATAATACAACGTAGTATAACAAAGAAGAAAAACTCGAAGTCCTATGGTTTATTATTGGGAGTAGGGCCTATATCGCGACAGCTGATTCTAATAGTCGTTCTTGAAATCAGCCGAAGGATCGAATTAAAGAGGGAAGCGCTCGGCGGCACAGCTGGCTCGCGAGCCACTGACAGTTTAAACTATAATAACAATTGAACTACATATGGCGGAGTCAATCAGCACTAGGCACATGCATTGGAGCTACTCTCTTTATACCCACTCTACGTTGGCACTGAGATACTATTAAAGACGGTTGATGCTTATGAAAGTTCGCTTGCCTATTAAAATTTAAGTGATTAAGAGTAAGAAACTAATAATACGGTACTAATTTCATGATTTATTATATTTTCATAGACATGTATATATGTTTAAAATTTAATAATACTCGATTTTTATTCAAAATTGTCATTTTAATGTTATTATCTGTTTGATTATCAATAGAGATAATAACTACAGAGAAAAAATTGTAATATTTCGGCAATGTATAATATAAGATATTATAGCATTAAAAGTATACATACTTATTTATACAATATTTATGTAATAAAAAATTACGAATTTAATAATGTATTATCGAAATATTTATGTTAATAATCATAAATTTTTATTAATTGTCGGTAACGTTACCGTTCTTCAATTATCTCCGATTATACATACGTTTATACGTATGTTCATACATGCATTTATACATACGTTTATACATACATACATACATACGTTTGTACATACGAGTACATGTATTACAAAGGAAGGGAAAAAAAATACGTAATAAATATATTTTATTAAAAAATAATATATTTTTATTTAAAAATTCTTTTGCAACCACTAGTTATATATTTTAAATACATTTTATAACGCGCAGTTCTTAATATGTTGTCCACATTGCATAGTATTAGCAACATCCAGAGTAGTTAAAGATTCCATGTTTTCATAAACTGTACCTAAGGTTTCGATGTACATATGTTCTCGCTCATCGTCCAGAAGCAAGTTCCACAGCCACGTTCGTTTCTCGCGTCCTTCGATGTACATGATAGCATCATCTTCAAATACAATCCGTGATCAGGCGTTTTGCCTCGCTGTATGGGATCATTCCGTCCTCTCACCGCAATCCATGGTGATAAGCACTCAATTAGGAAGCGCTAGACCTGTCGGATCTTGTCAAAAATTTCCATAACGCGGGACTCGTAAAAATGTAATGCGTGAGAACGGTCCTCTGTGTTTCAACACCGCCACTTCCTTCACGATAAATTTCTTGTTAACGATGAAACCTTGCAGATTTACGAACATTGGTACGGGAACCATATGTTGTCGAGAAGACTGTGATCGATTGCGGCGTATCGCAGATTTTATATTGTGACGGAGGATACACTTAGGTAATTTTGCGCACAACGTTGGTCAATGGATTATACTGAACCACGCGATTGTGTATGATGAGACAATAGGCGGTAGTATTTGCAAGCACGTTCTCCTTACATTCAAAGTTTAATCGCATGTCCACGTGCCACTCTTGACCGATTCGTTTTATCGAGAGTAATCGATGATCACGAACGAGCCATTACGTAAAAAAGTCGTAAAGGTGAGACTCGGCTCGAGATATTCGTATTCGTAATAGCTCTTGCAGAAACGCGTGTACATGTCGTGCAGAATCGCACATCTATTTTGATCGAAATCCAGATTCAAGTTATCGTACGGATAACATTCTGAGTTTAGATAAAGTATCACATTGCTTAATTTGCAGTCGTCGAAACGATTTATATCCTCGGATATGATGTTTTTTCGACCTGTTTGCAAAGCAAAGATGACATGTGTGATTTTTCGAGCTATATAGCCATTTTGATGGCTCACGAATACGTGGTTGTGCTCTGCAAGAGCTCGTACAGATCCTATAAGCGAAAAGACATGCTCAGATATCGTCTGCTTTCCAAAGCGCGCAGCATCGACAGCTTTATCTCGCTCAATAACACGTGCGGTATTCGCCACTGTACTTTGAATAATTCGAGCGTCGGTTCTATCGGCGGATCTCCCGTCAGACAATTGTTGTCGTTGCGCGCTTGTATTAAAATCAACTCGTGATGAGCGTTTGTAATTTTTGCAAAATCCCAGCAGTACGTAGAACGGTACACAGAAATTAAAGTATCCGGCCGCAGTAGTATGCGCTTCCCAGCCGGTATTCCGCATAATCACGCTTCTATCGGACGGCACTATTAGATAGTTTTTGAGCGTACTTGTCATGCCCACATTTCTGTTATGGTCAATCTTCACACCGTTGAGTTCATACCGATTATCGAATATGAACGTAATTATTAGGTTGTTCGGAAAGTAATTTCGTTTTTTCTTATGAAAATGAAAGACGATTTTCAATCAGACGTGTTTCAAATGATCATGAACGGTCGAATTCGATAAATTTAATCTCTCAGCGATCTCACGAGTTGTTATTCGCCGGTTTGCATCATTTAATGCCTTTATTGTGTCTTCATCAGCTTCAACTGGCTTTCCAGAACGTGGTGCATCTT